GAGCCGTAGCAGCGCGGGGCCGCTTTTGCCAGACACCCGCAGTGCCTTGCCACGACGGGAAGCAAGGACCGGAGGGGGAACGAGAGCCACCACCTCACCCTTTGCCGTGGGGAGACACAAGAGAAAAGAATTTCCTCCCCGCCCGCGGTTTCCTCATCCTTCCAGCTGACCTGATTTAAGGCTGATTTGAGGCATTACCCCGTCTCCGGACCCACACCTGAGTTGTGGGGAGAGTCCCCGGAGGCGACGTCTAGAACCTCCTGGGGACGACGCGAGAGGACCGAGTTCCCACTTCTGCAGCTTCTCTCTCCCCAAATCTTCGCAGCGGCTACAGCAGCAGTGTGGTCCCTGGGGCTAGCGGGAGACCTCCCGCGGCGGGCAGGGACTCGAGGGAAAATGAGATCCCCCAGAGAGACCCCTCCTGGCTCCGTTTCGTTGCCAGGCTCCTGGTCCCCGCGCCTTGGCGGAACAACAGCGGGAGCGAGCCCGGAGCTCTCGGGCAGGGCAGGTCGGTACCCAGTGCTCTGCTCCACTCCGCGCAGGCTCCCGGGGACCTCAGGCTAAGCCGGGTATGCGGGTCCCACGCTCAGGGAGGGAGGATTATTTCGAGGGGTTGCGGGGCACACGCGATTTTGGGGGCGGGCTAAGAGAAGGGGTCTCGTCCTTCCCTCCTTCTGCACACAGCAGAGCCGGGGCCCGGCCCGCGGATCCCCGGCGGGACGCACCGAAGATGCGCCCTCTTCTCGGAACTCGTTACGGCTTCGGTTTTGGTGCATGTTTTTTCCCGAGTAAGAAACCAAACGCGCGACAGCGGGCGGCATTTCAGCAAAGGGTTTTGCAGCCGTTGAAAAACCAAACTTCCAACACTCCGTGAAAAAACAGTTCGATCAAACCCGGACACCGACAGCCCCTCTCGGCTCATTCTCGGGGTGCACGGCTTGACCTACTGTGCTTCTTCCCGAGGCTTTTTTGGTTGTGTGCCGCTGCTCTGCGCCGAGGAAAGGCTGCCTGACTTCAGCGCGGCCAGGGCGGTGGGGCAGTGGGGCTCCGGCCCCGCAGCTCATTCCAGTTCGGGCCCAGCACTGCCGGGCAGCATCAGGATCGAAGGGCTGTGTCTCCTCTGTAACGCTTTAGCAAACTCTGAAGGACGTTTCCAATTGCTTTCTCTGTTGTTATTATTTTTAAACGTGTAAAAGTCCCCATTAACTCCAGTTCCGGTGTTTCTTGTTTTAAAACTTAATTTTAAAACAAACAACCCGAGATGATAAGACCCACCTAGACAAACAGCAGGGCCAGTCCAGAGGCACTGGGAGAGAACAGGCTTCTCAGCGCCTTCCCTATGGCTTTTTCTGCTGGTTTTACCCCTTTTTCTCCTGTTTTTACTCGTCTGTCTGGAGGTTCGTCGGTGTCATAAAATAAACGAAGAAGATGGGGGGGGAGGAAGCCCCCGACTCAAATCGAGCTGGTTCATTTCAGAGCTTTTTTGGAGTGGGGTATTTGCAATCCTTTCACTGTCCCAGGAGAGTGAAGAAAGCCAGATCGAAACGCTCCTGTTTGCAAAGAGCCTCCGCCTGGAGCCTGAACGACCTTTTCCGCTAAGGAAAGCAGCGCCGAGCCCGGCGCCGGGCTCAGGGGCCGCGGCCGGAGACAGCACACTGCGCGACCCGGAGCTGGGGCAGGCACTGCCGGCCAGAAATCCCCCCGCTCAGTGCCGGCACCTCTGCCCGCTGCTTTTCCACCGGGCACTGCGGTAATTCTTTTTTTAATTTTAGCAAATTGGTAATTAAATAAATATGGAACTGCCTATATATACATAT